CGTCATCGAGAGGACGGAGCATTGTTCCCACAGGACCGATCAATGATGGCCAATCGTTCCTTCCTACTTTGCCAAAGGTGGCTCAAAAATGTCGTCCCTAGTCTATCTATCCTAACGATATCCCTTCCCGCCTTTTCAAACCACTTCCTACTCCCCAGTACAGCTACCGCCCTCTCCTCTCTATTCCGTGCCTCAAACATCTCCCTGTACGTCCCTTCTATTTTTCCCCAGCTCAGTCATGTACACTTCCCTCTTCTCTTCGTACCACGGACATTCCGCGACTACATGAACACGGTCTTCGCATTCGAAGCCGCAATCACATTTGAACTTGTCGTCTTCGTCGTCTACCGTCCTATGTCTTCGTCGACGTTCTCGAAGGCCTATATCCCTGGTCCTGAATTTGACCTTAAGCTTTGTCCCTGCATCCATTGGTCCATGTAGGTAATCCTTGAACCCTATTCCTTCTTTCAACATTCCGTACATTCCTAGACCCTCCTTATCCTCGGTTTCTTTCCTTGGATTCTGTTCTTCTCTCTCGGCACAAGCAACAGATATCTTGTCCTTGAACCCCTGTAGACCCTCTGTTTCCAGCGTTCTATCTTCGTCGATGTCTAACCCCTTCCATACGTCCTCTAAAACCTTGACCCATTCCGTGGGTTGTCTGCCCCTCTTTTTGTTTGCCCACTTCGCCTCCCATACTATTCTCGGCAACCTCTCCTCTCCCATCCCGCGCATGCGATACTGCCATGTCAGCTTCCTTACGTCTCTTCCCGACCGTAGGGATTGGATCCCCAATTATCAATTACTTGTGCGCTTGGAGCATCCTAGGATGATTTTCGCTGCTTTCATCTGCGCCGTCTCGAGTTCTTTCACTTCCTTCTTATTTATTTCCCTCCCATACTTCTCCGGCGTACTCTAGCGGCGGTACGATTACGCTCTTCAAAACCGCCAATTTGATGCGTGTATCGAGGTGCCGGTTTGCGAGTATTGGGTGCAGCTTCCCTGCTCGTGCTTTGCCCTTTTCCGCTACCTTGGGCATGTGTGCATTCCACGAGCAGTCGTTTGCGATCTCTACTACGAGGTATGTGTACTGGTCCACTACTGCAATGTCCTCGATCCCCCACTTCCATCTATATTCTACTGGTTCCTCCCTGTCCTCGTTGCATACCATGACGGCACTCTTCTTGACGTTGGCAGCCAATCTCCACGTATCAGTAAACTTCTTCGCCGTGTCAGTTTGCAGTTGCAGTTGCAGTCCCTCAGGGGTGTCCGACATACCAACAAAATCATCCGCAAACAGCATTCCTGACACCGAAGTTTCCGTGTCCCCTACTTTTTACTCCCTTCCGGACTGCCTCTACGACTTCCAACAGATCGTTGATGAACACCTGGAACAACGTCGGGGACAGCGTGCAACCTTGTGGGACCCCCTGCTCAATGTCGAAGAATGTAGACAGTTCTCCGTCTAGCATGACCGCGCTTTTCGTACACTCTGTCATCTTCTTCAGCACTCTCCACCTTTTCCCCTTGATCCCGTACTTGAACAATTGTTTCCACAGCCCATTTCTCCGTACGGTATCGTATGCCTTTTTCACGTCCAGGAAGAAGCAGCATGTCGGCTTTCCCGCCCTCTTTCTACCTTGGATGATTCTCCCTACCGTGAATGCGTGGTCTACGCACCCCCTCTTCTGTCGGAAACCTGCCTGGCCCTCACTAATGCTACGTTCCTTCTCCAATACTCCCCCCATCCTATCGTTCAGCAGCTTACAGAACACTTTTCCTACTGTGTTC